GCAACTATCAAAGAGGTGCAAGCTTTCTCTGCCATGGAAACTAACTACTGGAAAACCATGGTGTCTTTAGACTACCACAAGAAGGGGGACCCGCGATACTCGCAGGGGTGGGGGGAGAAGCTCCACCAAAGAAGGAAGCAGCCGCAGGTGAGCCTTCTCCCCTGCCCCCCGTCCCCGGCACCCACAGAGAGGCCTGCGCCTCTCCAAGCCTTCTCCCCCCCGCGGCAGTGAGGGCTGCTTACAGCTGCCAACCCACCCAGCCTTCTCCCGCCCCCTCCCTGGCATCAGTGTTGGCCTGAGAGGCTTCCAGCCACCGGGCCCACCAATCTCTCCCACCCTTCTTCCCCCTCCGCCGGTTTCCTCCCCCCCCAGTGGCCAATCTCCTCCTCCTCTCTCCCCACCCGCCTCGGCTCTGGTGGTGAGCCCTGAGAGGCTTCCAATCTCCAGCCCACCACAGAGTTCCCAGAGCGTTCCCTGCGCATGTGCAGGAGATGCTCTGTTACTTTGGGGGGATTTAAATATCCCCCCTATATTTTTTCAACTTTTTAGATTTTTGTGCACACCTGGGGACTGCCCCAAGTGTGCAGGGAAATCTCCCTGCCCCCCAGGTGCACCCAGTGTGCGTATTTAGATATCCGCACGCAGGGGGCACCTTCGCTATTAGATATATAGATTATGCAGCTCTGTCAAAAAGTCAACTTCTGTCTCTGTGCACTAGCTCTAGGGTACAGCATTAAACAGACAGCTGAGCTTAACTACATTGCCAGAAACCACAGACATCTACCTCTCTGGGTGGCTCCAGTTACTATATGTCAAGCTATATTACTGGGAGCCACATGGTAGCCACTTTGAGGACTGTTGCCTGATATCTATAACCGCAAGGGAATGCAGACATCTGTACCTTTCCCATGTGGGCTCAGGAATGTGGGAGTCTATTAGTTTTACCAGATGCTCTAAGTTAAATGTTAATATTAATCTCGTAACCTTGATTTATCTTTGGACTTTGACATATATGTATATCAGTCTCTTCCTGTTAATTGTAATTTCTATATACATCAATAAAAATTTTAAAAAAGGAATGTGGGAATCTATGGTGAAATCCCATGCTGCTGTTACAAGCATTTGTATAACGTATCAAGGAAAGCAGGGCCAATTTGAATGGGTCTTTCCTACATGAACATTACCCCTTTCCCTTAGCAACGACTAGCTGGGAGAGACCTACCTGCCTGGTCCCACTTATGTAGCCACCATACACACTGACTGCCACAACACGCATTCTCACAATAGAGAAGCTGCTCCTGTGCTATTAACATGAAAAACGTGGCCACAGTTTCCACAGATTTCTGAGTAACTGTGTTCTGATTTGGATGGCCCAGGCTCGCCAGATCTTGGAAGCTAAGCAGGGTCGGCCCTGGTTAGTACTTGGATGGGGACCACCAAGGAAGCCCAAGGTCACTGTGGCAAACCACCTCTGAACGTCCCTTGCCCTGAAAAGCCTATGGGGTTGCCATAAGTCGGTTGCAGCTTGAAAGCATAAAAAAGAAAAGAACAGGGACCCAGACACTGCTGTGTGCTGCAGCACAGGATGTGAAGGCTGTGGGTGCGAAGTGTGGAGCTAGAATAAGGGCAAGGGCCAGGTCTTCACTTGAACCAAGGTTTAGTCCCAGGGCCTGAAACATGCAGAGCGGCCTTCCTTCCCCCTGAAGTACTACAACTAACATGCACAGATCTTGGATGAGGGGAAGGAGGTTTGTAGGGCAGTGTGCTACTTCCAAGCAGGCTTGAAGCCCACATTAGAAAGAGCTGGGAAGAGTCAGGAAGAGAACAAAGAGAGGGTAGTATTGCTAAGTATGTTTGAATTCTTGCACATACGGGAGAAGGGCTACTGTATGACATGAGACCCTTTCCACTCTCTGGCGCAAGAGAATTTATTTATTGACTTCATTATACTCCACCTTTCTCCCCACCGGGGTCCAAAGCAGCTTACACCACTTTCTTCTCCTGTCTTTTAGCATCACAACAGCCCTGTGAGGTATATGTTAGGCCGACAGTGTACAACTGGCTCAAGGTCACCCAGCAAGCTTCCATGGCAGAGTGGGAATTCAAGCCTAGTCCAGCACTCTAATATGGGACTGTTCAGAGCAGCACTCCCTTGGGCAACAGCATAGCCACTCTCAGAGTGGTCCGTCTCACACAAGAGAGGAAGTGTGCTGTAGAGTGAACTGTGATCTCTACTCCTATTTTACTGCTGTGGTGATGGGGAGTGGAGGAAACATTTATCCTCTCTTCCCTCCGGTAGCAGCACCTACAACAGCAGCGGGGGGGGGGGCTTCTTTCCCATGGCTGCCTATGGATCACGGACTGTGTTATTGGAGGACAAGCAGAGAGTGAAAGAAGGGCACTGTCTTTTTAAAGACAGCACATGGGAAGGGCCTTGGGTGTGCAGGCCTGCTGAGAGGCTTGGGATCTTTGCTCCCTGACAGAACAAGCAGGGGTGCAGGATGAATCCATGCAGTTTTCAGCTGTAGGTTGGGAAACTGCTGGGGATCCAGGAGTGGAGCCTGGGGAGGACAGGGACCTCAGTGGGGCACGGTGCCACAGACTCCCTCATCCAAAGCATCCATTTTCGCCAGAGGAACTGGTCTCTGTGGTCCGGAGATGAGCTGTAAATCTGGGGGATCCTTGCCTCAGGTCCCTCCTGGCGGCTGGCATCCCTAGTTTGAGTTTCTTTCCCAGTGCTTCCAGGAGGACCACAGAGTGATGAGTGGTGAATTTGGAGGATTATCAAATGTTGAGCCAGAGTTTAGGATTTAAAATTACGATTTTAACACCTTTTGGGAAACAGGGTAATGCGAAGGACAGACTATTTCCACTAATTAAACAAGTTTCTACCCCAATCCCCTGTGCTACTACAGCCATCATCAAGTGACAACCATTCCTGACCCTTGCCTATTTCGACATATCTCATTAAAGGGAACAAGTGCAAGCCAGGCCGATTCTTCTCCGGGCCAACTGGCAGACTTCTGAAGGAAGCGCTCCAGACTAATAATCTGGCAGCTCGGAGCCAGACGGCCAGGTGGGCCAAGGATCAGCCGGGCAGCGCCGGATGGCCTGATGTCCAGCGGCTGGGAGCACAGCCATCCAATCCCCCCCACCTCCCCGAAAAGCGGCGTGATGCTGACCAGCGCGTGGTCCGCTCGGGCACGCCGAGTTTTGCAACGGCCCCCTGGTCCCTCCGCGATTGGGCCCGGGAACCTCACCCCACACTCCTGATCTCCGGCAGGCGGCCGCTGCCCAGCCAGGGGCAGGAGAGAACTGCGTGGCCGGGAAAGGGAGGAGAGGAGGAGGGGCTCTGGCGCGCCTGGGCGAATCTGCTGCTTGGCAAAGCGCGGTCACTTTGGCGGCTACGGATTTGCAAACCCGGCCACGGGCAGCAGGAGGGAGGCGGAGGAGGAAGCGGCAGGGCGGGGTGGAAGATTTAAACCGGAGGGAGCGTGAACGGGGATAGGAGCGAGCACGTGTTGGCGTGAGAAAGAGCGGAGGGCGGCGGGTCGCTCGGAGCGACACAAGCGGGCCCGGAAGACATCGGCTTCGTTCTCCCCTTCCAACCGGACAAAGGGAGTTTTTATCATCCCGCTTCACCCGACATAGCTCACAGGAAAGGCGCCGGCGCTCATCCCCGGCCCAGAAACCCCACCCTTTGACCTGAAGCCCTTAATCCGCGATTGAATACAGGAAAGCCGGGGTGTCTCACTAGAGTGGGGAGTGTGCTCTTGGCTCATGCGCAGAGGCACCCGTCGCTCTTCAGGGCCTTGTGCCCGGCTTTCCAATAGGTGCCCAGCTGAAAGGATCCGAGCACCTCACTTGCAGTCTCCCCTTTAATGAGTCCCTCAGGGCGTGCTTGAGAAGAGAACGGCACACGCAGTGTCTCGCTGGCCGGCTCAGGCTGGATTTGGGGAGGCGGCCAAACGGTGCTGGAAGGACTTTCCCCCCTTCCCCTGAGATGCATATCGCCATCCCACTGGATGCGTTTGGGGGGGGGGCGCCCCCCCCCATAACCCTTAGCCCTCCTTGCAGAAGGGCGTCAAAATTTCAGACAGTCAAGGGTATTCAAAAGTCTACAGCTGGAATAGGGATCATCTATGGAGATTGGGGGGTCACCATAAAACGGGGCTCCTGATGGAGACTCTACAGCAGAATCCTGATGTATCAGCGGAAGCAATAGGGAACGTGGGTAAAATATAAGTGCTCTTTAGGTGCCTTCCTTACTGTGAATAGCAGCCCCACGACTTCTCTCCCAAGTTCCCGGCCTCTCTTTGCCTCCAAGGAACCAGCCCCAGACGCGACCATCCCTCCTCATCCCAAGTGACCATGGAAGAGACACATTCACGTATTAGTCACCAACACGCCTAATGAAAAAGTGAATAGCAAGAGATGCGGTGGAGCGACAACGGGTTTTTTTTTTTAATGGTTTGGGGGGGGGGGGATGAAGTGGGAGGGGGTATTCCCCGTCCCACCCTGCGCCAGATGAGTGGGGAGGGGGTCTTGGTAGAAGTGCCTGCTTGAGAGCTGATAAACCGGAATGGCAAATGTAAAATGGAATGCGCGGGAGAAACCAGTTGGCTCCTGCTTAAAAATTAAAATAAAAAAAGGGGGGAGACATTCCGCATTATATAAGTTGACCTCGAAATCAACAACAGGATTCTACCGCAGACGCCAGTTTCATCTGCGAGGTTTCCCAGCACTGGACCCATTCAAAGAAAGCATTCCCTGGACGCGAGATGCAGAGACCCACTCAGAGTGTGCGCGCACACATGCACTCCCCACGCACGCAGACGCACAGCTCGCCCCATCCTTTCTCCACACGTCTGGTGCTCGGCTTCTCCTAATCCAACCGAGAGCTCATCCTGCCGCGCGAGATACTGGCTAGCCCCAGACGGCCCCCGGCGTGCACGCTCCCTAAACGGTGGCGCCCCACACGAGCCGCTGCCGCCACCTACCAGTTCTCCTGCATCCACTGAATCGCTTCATTCTCGTTGAATTGCTTCTCGAATTCGTATTCTTGCAAAGTCAACACTGACATGTTCATTGGACCGGTCTTGGAGAGGAAACGCTTTCCTAGATGCCGTCTGCGGGAGGCCCTTTTTTTTCGGGAACGCCTCTGGGTCAGGTATCGCCTGCTCTTCTCCTGCCTCTCTCTCTCTCAGCTATATCCTTGATGGAGCATTGCTTTTCCTCCTCTTCCTATAACCTCCTCTCGTGTCTGGAGATCTCTCCTCCTCTCTGCTTCTGCAATCCACCCTAGGCGGAAACCGAGCCGAGGCGGTCCTATTGCCGCTCTCTTTCCTCGCGGCTCATTCATTTCTTTTAAAAGGAGTGTTCGCTTTTCCTAGCCGCACAACGCTCCAACTGGGGGTGGGGAGAGGAAAAAACCGGAGCTGGCGAGAGTCCCAACGAAATCGCCTGTCCGATGTCTCTTGTAACCGTCTTTTCACGTTCGCCTGCCTCACGATGCTGAAGGAGAGGAGACTCACCCCTCCCCCAGGAAACCTGCTAACGGATTAAACCCACCGTTTGCAAATTCGAATAGTAAATCCCACCACCAGAACGAGGTGTAGTTAATAACACGGCGAGGTTTACTCAATAAGTTGATTCCAATGTTTTATTGTCATTTGGATTACTTCTCTGGACTTTGCCTCTTCCCTGGACAAAAGCAGAAGGTGTTTTGGTATAATGCACAGTTAAAGCTAGGGCTGCATGGAGAAAATGGGGAGTCTTTCCTCCATCTCCTTTCAACCTTGTATCACTATAGATTGGAAATAACGTTTAAAGATACAGTCTCTATTACATATTGACTTTTATATGCATCTCTTGGGGAGTAACTGAACTCCAGCGAGACGGACATCTGTGTAAACTTGCCTTACATCTTGCTGCACTAGATTATCACCTGATTTTGTTCTCAGATCAGCAACATATATGAATCACTGAGTTCACCATACATCCTCTAGTTCTAAGCAGCCTTCTGAACGTACGATCAATAATTTTAGCTACTTTTTTAGTATAGAGAACCAGTGTGGTGAAGTGGTTAAGAGTGTTGGACTAGTATCTGGGAGACCTGGGTTCGAATCCTCACTCATGCCATGAAAATTTACTGGAGGGGCCTTGGGCTCCCACAAGGCTGTAGAAAGGAGAAGAGAAGTATGTAAGTCACTTTGGGTCCCCACTAGGGAGAATGGAGGAGTTAAATTGATTAAATAAATAAGCATGTTTGTGGTAAATTCTTCTGGTCTCTTAATTAGCTGTGTTATGCCAGAGCACTAGATTAATTATTGCTCTAAATCTTCAAAGTTAATGGGGGGGAGGCTTGTAAGTCAACTATCAGAACCTTTTTAATGTTGATTTCCCCCCCCCAAAAAATGACAAAAGCAAGATTATACAACACTAAAGAGAAATAATAAAGATTCAAGAACCATGTCTGAAATATATTAGTGGTTATTTCTTCATTAGTGGCACAGAGGATTTATCCTCTGGTTAACATCTGAACAGGAGCTGCTGTCAGTTCTAGCCCGTGCTGGTGTGAGCTACCAGCCTTGTCCCCAGCTCGCCGTCCACCCAGCGGTTCGAAAGCTTCGGCGAGTAGATAAAATGGGTACCACTCCTTAGAGAGGGTGGGCACACTAAACCCCCGTGGGGGAGGTCTTACCCGGCGAATGGAAGGTCCAGCTCGGAAGCCTGGGAAAAAAGACCTCTTCGGCATTAAGAAGCCTGTGATGGGCCAATCCGGTTAGGCGGTGGCAGTGTGGCACTATGACTCAAAGCAGTCCTGGAAGAACTGACGTCATCCAGCCAAGCTGAAAGTGAATGCCGTCCGGAACACGCCTGAAGCTTACAGCTGAACAAAATCCCCGTTGGCTGCAAAAGTGTGTGATTTAAAGAATTATATGTTGTCCTCCCTTACCCTATGAATCATTGTTAGTCCCATGTGAAAACTTGAGTAACTGTAAATCGCTCAGCCAGCAGCTCTACAGGATGAGCGATCAATAAATCAAAAGGTATTATTATTATTATTTAGTTACCCTATGTACACATATGTTGATTATTGCTAGAGATCAATATTGGGCTAGAGTATAAAAGTGCCACAATGCCATTCTTGAGATGCTTCAGGAATGAGGAGGTAATGAGCTGATCATAGGGTAAGAGGAATGTTAGTTCAAACAGCCTTGGACTGGGGATTTTCCTTCTAGTTATGATGACCTAATTATCTGAAATCTCTGATTTATTTATAGTCCCATCAATTTCTACATTTTGTGTGATGCAACCTGGTTTGCTTTTCCTTTATGCCCATAACTAAGATTGCCAACTTGCAGGGGGGATATCATGTCCCTTTAACAGATGTAAAACCTTGGGGCATGAAATAACCAAAGATCAAACTGTTTTTAAAGGTATAGCTAGAGGGACCAGCTGAAAAGTTGGCAATCATACTCATGCCAAATTATTATTAAGAAGAACTGGTTTTTATAGCCTGCTTTTCACTACTTGGAGTTTTGGAGCGGCTTACAATTACCTTCCCTTACTTTCCCCACAACAGACACCCTGTGAGGTAGGTGGGGGCTGAGAGAGTTCTGAGAGGACAGTGACTGACCCAAGGTAACCCAGCTGGCTTCATGTAGAGCAGTGGGGAATCAAACCCGGTTCTCCAGACTAGAGTCTGCTGCTGTTAATCACTACACCAAACTGATGAAACTTGTTAACCCGTTAGGCCTGGCTGAATAAGAATAATACCTCATTGTATGAGCAGAACTAAATGGGGGAATGGGTTTACTCTCAGAAAACTGTGATTAAACTGTGAATCAACTTGGTTGCATCTGGTGGTGGAAAGTGCTGTCAGTCACAGCTGACTTATGGCAACCCAGTAGAGTTTTCAAGGCAGGAGACATTCAGAAGTGGTTTGCTATTGCCTGCCTCCGTGTCACAACCCTGGTATTCCTTGGAGGTCTCCCATCCAAATACTAGCCAGGGCCAACCCTGCCTAGCTTCTGAGATTGGGCTAGTATAGGCTATCCAGGTCAGGGTTGGTCACACAAAGCCATGATTTTAGAAGAATTTCCTCCATGGACATTTTCTTAAAGCTGGGGGTGTGAAACTTCAGTATACGAAGACAGTGTACCTCTGAACTGAGGAAGTAGGTTATGAGGGAACAACTTAATATCCTGCTTATGAGCATTCAATGGCATCTTATCATGGAAACAGACTGCTGGGTTAGATGGATATGACTCACCAAGGCAATTTTTTTGCCAACAATGTACAGTTCTAGTTATCACATTTCACAAAAGGATACCGCAGAACTGAAAAGATACAGAAAAGGGCAACCAAGATGATTAGGGAAGTGGAGCACCTTTCCTATGAGGAAAGACTGAAGAGTATGGACTCTAGATTAAAGCAACTAAGAGGGACATGGCAGGTTTATAAAATTATGGATGGGATGGAGAAGGTAGATAGAGAATGCCTTTTCTCTGTCTCCCATAACATTAGAACTCATAGGCAACCAATGAAGTTGATGAGCAATAGGTTCAAGAGAGACAAAAGGAAATACTTCTTCGTTTAATGAGTAATTCATTTGTAGAATTCACTGCCAGTGTATGTAATGATTACCGTGAACATAGATGGTTTCAAGAGGGAATTAGACCAGTTCATGAAGGAGAGATCTGGCAGTGGGCCCTGGCCATAGATGACTAAAGGGAACCTTTGTAATCATAGGCAGCAGACGTCTGAATACCACTGTTAGGAAGCAGTATCAGGGGAGGCCTTGGACTTTATGCCCTTTGTTGGTCCGCCAAGGCAACTAGTTTGTCCACTATATGGAACAGAATGCCAGACTAGATGGACCCCTGGTTCAACCCAGCAGAGCTTTTCTTATACTTTTATCTTAAAATATTTTAAATATAGGCCCCCAAACAGCTGGTATGTATGTGTGTGTAAAGCGCCTTCAAATCACAGCTCACTTATACTGGCCCATAGGCAAAAGACATTCAAGGCAAAAGACATTCAGGTATGGTTTTCCATTGCCTGCTTCTGCATAACAACTCTGGACTTCCTTGGTGGTCTCCCATCTAAGTATGAACCAGAACTGACCCTGATTCGCTTACAGGATCTGACAAGATCAGGCTAGCATGGGCTTTCTAGGTCAGGGCAAACCGCGGATAGCAAGCATTGTACTAGAAGTCGTATTCCTGATGTTTATGAACCAGGGTGGATGGGAAAAGGTAAAGGAGGAAGATCTATCTGACCATTCTAAAATGAAGCAGTGGGGGTTTCATTCAATGGGGTCCATGCTGATCTTTCCTTGGTGGTGGCCTTGCCAAGACACAGGCAGTACATATGTCCAGTGGCCTTTAATGTTGTGATGACAGCAGCCAAGTGACCTTACCTTGTTAGTGCAGTCACAGGGCAGCTAGAGCAGAGTTCTTTCTGGCAGGCAGATGAAGAAAGCTCCTTTTCATCTGCTTGTTCTCTGGCCAGTAGCAAGTCTAGGCAGGCAGGTCTTCTCTGTCCCTTGGTGGTGTTTCTGGGCAGGAGGTGGTGCAACCTGTCAGTGACCCTGGTTGCCCGGCCTGTTGACAGAGTACAGACCATCCTTTCCATTGCAACTGCATTAAGAAGCAACTGCAACATTCAGCTTGGTAAACAAACAGTATATGAGTGTACAAACTCCGATAGATATCATTGTAATAAATGTTGTAATATAGATCCTGTGTAATATATCTCATATAATATATACTGCACTGAGAACAGTGGATGTTATTACACAGAATAATCATGACAAACTTTTAAAAAGATATTCCCACAGTCTTTTGTTTGAATTGATAACTTTTAAAGATAACTTCTCACATTCCATATTATTTTCTTTTTAAGGCTCATATACAACTTTTACATCACCACTTACATCCATTTTTAGCACAAAATTCAAGTCCAGTGGCACTGGCACCCTTGAGACCACCAAAGTTTTATTCAAGATACAAGCTTTCATGTGCACACACACTTCGTCGGACATAGTGAAATAGAAGTTACCTGTCCATACATATAGGTAGAGGAGGAGCAGCAACTTAGCATACAACATAATGAAGATGTTTAACAGATGCAAGAACCAAACAGGAATAACAAGCTTAGTTTATATGGTCACCATTGCTTCAGACCAACATGGCTACCCACCAGCATCCATTTTTTTTAGCATT